AAACGTGAGGATATGGAGGGCCAACTGTGTATTTATTGAAAAAAATCCACAATAAGTGGACCCACACAGTTGAAACTTGTATTGTTCAAGTGTCAAGTATAATTTGTGGTCTTTTGTGACTTGTCATTTAACATAATGTCTTCAAGTTTCATCTATGTTGTAGCACATATCCATACTTTATTCCTTTTTTATGACCAAATAATATTCCATGTATACCACATTTTATTTATTCATTTAGTAGCTGATAAAACATTTAGATTGTTTACCTCTTTATATATCCTAAATACAATTACCTTATGATTTGCAAATATTTCATTCTGTGGGTTGTCTTTTTACTTTCTTCATTGTATCCTTTGAAGTAAAAAAGATTTTAATGTTGATGCAGTCCAATTTTATCTATTTTTCTCTTTATTACTTGCGATTTTGATGTGATATCTAAGAATCCACTACCAAATCTAAAGTAATGAAAATTTACCCGTTTTCTTTTAAGTTTTATGATTTTAGCTCTCATGTTGAAGTCTTTCATCCATTTTTGAGCTAATTTTTATATACGGTGTGAGGTAAGGGTACAACTTTACTCTTTTGAATGTGGCTATCCAGTTGTCCCGGTACAATTTGTTGGGGGAAAAAAAAACAAACCAAAACATTCCCAATTGAATGGTATTAGTATTCTTGTCTAAATCAGATGACTTCAGAAACAAGCTTCTACTTCTTAACTCTTAAGTGTATTCCAGCGATCAATATGCCTATTCTTATGTCAGTAGTATCTACAGGAGATACAATTAGTAGGCATGACTGTAATTAGTGTCCTTTCATTTCAGGTTGAAGAACTGCTTTAAGAATTTCCTTTAAGGTCTAATGATGACTAACTCTCTCAACTTTGACTTCCTAGTATCTATCGCCTTCATTTCTGAAGGACAACTTTGCCAAAGAAAGTATTCTTGGTTGGCAGGTTGTTTTTTTCCCTCTCAGAACATTGAGTATATCATCTCACTCTCCTCCGGCCTTCAAGGTTTGTGCCGCGATAAACTGCTAAAAAGCCTCATGAGGGTTCTTTCATAATGTGAGCTAATTTTTATCTCTTGCTGCTTTAAAAAAATCTGTTTGATTTTAGACAGTTTTATTATCATATATCTTGGAGAACATCATTTTGGGTTGAAATTTTGGGAGAACCTATAAGCTTCATGAACTTGGATAGCCAAATCTCTCTGCAAATTTGTGAAGTTCTCATTAATTATGTCTCTAAATAAGCTTTCTGTCCATTTCTCCCCCTTTTCTCCTTCTGGGATTCAAATAATGCACCAAGTATTTTAATGGTATGCCAGAGTTCATGTAGACTTTCTTCACTGTTTTTAAATGTTTTCTTTGTTCTTGGACTGATTTCAAATCGTCTGTCTTCTATTTCACAGTAGTTTCTTCTGCTTGCTCCAGTCTGTTATTGACACTCTCTACTGCATTTGCTTTACCTAAGGTGATGAATGCTCCAGCATGTGGTTTCTCTCAATCCCACAGAATCAGGCTGGCTTCCTGGGCGTGCTCACTAGCCACCTGCAAAGGCTCACACTCAGCATGCCCTCAAGGGCATGCACAGGGAGGCAGCCAGGTGGTGAGGGTGTGTTTGGGTGAGGTGCACGGAATTTGGAGGTACCCTTGGGCCAATTGCAGGGACCAGCAGGAAGGCATCCCCAGTGGCTCATGGGTGAGCTCCCTGATAGAGTCCCCAAAGCAATTAGTAAGATCCATGTCCCTTTGATACGTTCCATTCCCAGCCCTGGCTGCTGCTGTCTCAGTAAGACTGTCCGCCCCCAAGTCATGCATTTCACTACTCAGTAGTATCATAGATGAGATGAAAAAGAAATGGGCTTTTCAGTGAGTGTCTCACACAGTTGGGGAAGCCAGGTGCTCATTCACACACTCTCACTTTCCCCCAGGGGAGAAATCACAAGCTGAGTAAATCTCTCTTGGCACCAAGCTGTGCCACCTTGAAGGAGGAGTGACACAGGTAAAGTGAAAACTGTTCCTTTTATTGTTTTCAATGGTCCAATCTTGGATGTTTTTTGCTCCAATAGTATTCTGGACTCCCGGACTTCCACAAAGGTACTCTCATCTATAAATGATTGTCTAAATAGATATTCTTTGAGGGCAGAATGGTAGAAAATTCCTGTACCACCATTTTGATGACATCACCTCCTGTTAATTATTTCTTTTGCCAGATGAAATTTACTGTTGAGACTCTAGTGAATTTTTCATTTCAATTGTGCTTTTCTACTTCAGATTTTTAACAATTTCTATCTTGTTAATGATATTCTCTATTTGATTTGATACCGTCTTCATACTTTATTTAAGCATAATTTATTTCAGTTCTTTGAACATATTAATGGCTACTTTGAAGAATTTGCATATAAAACATGCCACTATCACAAGCAGTATCTGCTGCCTTTTTATGATGTATGTTCTTTGTATGTCTCACAACTTTTTTGTTGCAAACTAGATATTTTAGATAATATACTGTATCAATTCTCGGCATCGGTCTCCCCACTCTGGGGCTTGGTATTTTTTATGGTTGCCTGTTTGTTCAGTGACTAGCTGGCTTGTTTTAGTTAATTCCTTTCCCCTAATTCCCATGTTGCTAAGCCTCTGATGTTACTCCTCTGGGACCTCAGATTTGGATTTGCCCACAGTCATTCTGGGACGAGAGTAGTTCTGACAGGGTGTTCTGTCTTTCTCTGACCACACCTAGATGTTAGATTCCAGTAATTATGACTGATTGCTCTACAGTTTTCAAATGCACTCAGATATAAACTGCTCCACAGAATATATCAATCAAATTGAGGTTACTTTGAAGGGAAAGTTCCAGATGTCAATGTTTATTTTGTTGTTTGCTTGTTTTAATTTTTGTTTTGTTTTTTTTAATTGGGGAACAGCCATGGTCATTGGTTACACATTGCTTTCATGCTACAATGGCACAGTTGACTCTTGTAGGGAGAGCACAACTCACAGTGGCCCATGCGGCAACCTTGGTATTAGCATCACCATGCTCTAACCAACTGAGCTAACCGGTCACCCCTTGTTTTGTTCTAATCCTAGGCAGTCTTCTCCCAGCAGTTAAACCTGTAAGTCCAATCAATCTACCAATCTCCTCCCAATTACCTTCCACCGCCATCTCCACTGTTTTTGAGAGTACCTTTAAGCTTGAACTTCTCTGCACTCTGTCGTAAATAAAGTCAGTTCCTTTGGGAAGAGATTAGGAGCTGTTTTATGGCCCACTTCTCACTACAGGCAAAACCTCTGAGCCTTAGCTATAAAGCTGGAAGGATGGATAAAGTGACACCCCAGCTTTAGAAGCTGAGCACTTGGTGGGTATGGGACACGGGACAGAAGTCTCAGGTCTTCTCGGCTTGCCTCTCCTGGTGTGGAAGCACCGTCTTAAGCACAAGAGCCAGGGAAGACAATCAGGCTCCTGGCATGCTCAGCAGCACTGCACCCAAAGCAGAGCCTCTCCCCCAAGACTAAGGGCCAGCAAAAGGGAGTTGGAGGCAGGGTAAGGAATGCTGTTGTCTTGCTATTCCCTGTAAGCTAGTCCTCCAATTGGGAGCTGGGACACACAGGTAACCGCTGTCTTCCCGACTACACCCATCTGGGATGGAGTCACTATCTTGCTCAGCTGGGATAGAGGAGTCTTGGTTCAAATACCACAGATTCTTTACCAAATTTTAGTAAATTTCCTTGAATAAATGTTTCTTCATTTGCTGTATGTCCTTTAGAACATTTCCAGAGACTTTAGATTTTTTTTTTAATAGCTGTCACCAGCTTTGTTGGGAAGCAGGTCTACAGAGCTACTCACACTGCCATGCTGGGAGTCTCTCAGTCAGTGAGCTTTTTAATTGTAAACTAGATCATGTCCCCATTCAAAACTCTCCAAAAATTCCTTTCACATTTATAACCAAGTCCAAATTCCTATTTTTAAAGCTCTACAAAGTTCTACGTAATCCAGCCCCTACCTGTAATTGGATCTCATCCTTTTACCACTTTTTATTTACTTTATTCACTCTGTTCTAATCTCTGTCCTAACAAGGGTGATCCTCCTCAGGGTCTTTTTATTTTCTGTTCCCTATGGAAAGTTCTTTTCCCATAATTCTTTATGGCCTTCTTCTCCATTTCAATGAGGTCTCTGCTCACATGATATTTTAAGACATTCTCTAATAGTACCTGCCATTCACTCTTTATCCACATATCCCACTTTGATTTTCTTTACAGCACCTAAATTTACTTATATCCGTTTTCTTATGTGCTTTGAGTTTGTTTCCCCCAATTAGAATAAAAACTGTAGGAAGGCAGGGGGCTATGCCTGTCTTATTTACCACTGACTGTATCCCTAATATTTACAATAGTACTTGGCACACAGACAATACTCAGTAAAGACTTGTTGAATGAAAAGATGTAAGCAGGAATTGAAATATTTTTAAAGCTACTTACATTTTAAATGATGTTAACAAAAAAACTGTTTTTATTTATATCCATAAAGAGCAGAATAACAGAGTATGGGAAAAGAAGTAATAGTTATCTGTTTGGCTAAGAAAATATAAACAAATACAAGTGGCCAAAAGCCTGGAATTTAAATTTCCGTTTCAATAATCCTAAAACTCATTTTTATAAATAGCACTGCTGACCTGCCATTGCCCTAACGCTACAAACACCAAAAGAAACAATCACCTCTAATTCAATGGGAAAGTGAAAACAATCCTCAAGTGATGTTTCTACTATGACCATTAGTTTTGAGAGGGGTATTAGAAGTTTAGAAGCAATCAAATTCAAAATCCTTAATCAAATATACATTTGTCACTATCACTAACTGCAAATAAAACTCTTCAGCATTAAAAAAAGAAAGGATGTTATTTCCATGTTCTCACTTGCACTCCATATACCTTTCTACTAAGGCCGAGTTTTGCAATGGGCTTAGCAAAGCTAAGCAAAAGAAATTTAGGTTATGGAGTTTTTACCTTGAGTCCTGTTTTCTCGTCGTCACTTCCATTATTTGTAGATGGTGTCTCATCTCCTTGCCTGGAAACCAAGACAAAATCTTCACTATTAAGAGTGGATACTGAGTCTGAGGAGACACTGATTTTTCCAACAGAAGCCTTGTCATCCATGACTCAAGAATGAGGATCAACTCATGAATGATTAAATATTTTAAAAATGCCTGAAAAACAAAAACCATAAAGATACTCATATAGAATGTCTGCCAGATAATTATGCTCTAATTCTTACAAAATACATATGAAAAGCTTAAAAAAACAAAAACAAAAAAACTTCCAAAATATGTTCCGAAGACTTTTACCTCTTACACTTTAGTTTTTTTATTCCAAATAATAAGGAAATTTGGTGCTATTCAGGGCCAAGATATTTCAGAATTAAATAAATAAATAAATAAATAAATAAATAAATAAATAAATAAAGACATATTCCCTTGAGAATAACTCTGCCTACCTACAGTAATTTATTTGGCATATGTTGCAAATCTATTCTTAGCCTTTAAAAATTTAAGTACTAAACTTGTTTTCTAGTCTTTAATTTGTAAAACTGTACACATAAATGATACAGCAAGCACTTAAAACAATAACTAAAGTTTTCCTAACATTATGGATACTTATATTTAAATACTAACTTACGTTTTTAAGAAACAAAATTTCACATTGACACCCAAAAGAAATAAATTCAAGACAGGGCAATCATAAATTCTAGAGCTGGGAAATACCTTACATAGCAGGAAATCGGAAGTCCATTAAAAACTCAATCTTCCCATCCCACATTTTCTTAGAACTCAATATGAACATTACCAATAAAAAGAATTTCAAGCCAATAATTCCCAGCAAGTAAAAAAATGTGTCACTTTTGAAAAGCCATTGAATTATTTATTGACTCCTGGAATAAAATTCAAACTCATCTACCATTTAAAAACCTAGTTCTGCATGCTTCCTGGCAATGTTCCCATCTGGTTGCCGAAACAGCAACAAAACAATACAATGTTAGCAAGCTTTAACAAATTAACAAAAGTAGCTTTAGCTCTATGCTTATTTTGTACCTCAAAGAAGTAAAAGTTCTGAGAGTCTGTTTAATCTCTCCAATTAAGAAGTCCTGATTTATGCTTTGGGTTTTTAATTGAACATATATTTATTGAGCATACACCATATGCCAAGCACTATTTTCCTCTCAAAGGCTCACATCTAGATAACCACCTGGCAGCAGGAATCACACTATCCCTGAATTGTAGCTGGAAGCAAACTTAGAAATCATCAATAATGTTAAACAAATAAGGAAATGGCAACTCCAACTGGAGGTCATTTGACTAGGTATAACTGAAGCTCTAATCCTGAACTCTTTGCTGCTTTCTATTTAAACTAATTCCCTTGCTTGATGGCTATCACAACTCTCTTTTTCATAGGACGAAATCTAAATTCAGTGTGGCATTTAAGATGCTTCAAAATGTACTTCTGAAAACTTTTTTTTTTAATGTAGTTTTGCTTCATCCATTTAATGAATACTTACTGTCTAGTGTATAAAGAACGGACTATGGTAAAGGAGAGAAATTAGATTCTTGCCCAAAAGGAGTTCATAGTTTAGTTGAGAACAGAGGAAAACTTAACAGGAATAGGTACTGATTTAGGGTAAAGAAAACTCTGGGAACAGGTTGGGCTTAGACAAAACGGCTTAGACATGGAGAGTTAAATATATTAGAGGAGGTAATGTTCTGGCTAAGAATACATACAGACAGTCCCTGAATTATGATGGTTTGACTTAAAAGATTTTTTGACTTTATGATGGTGCAAAAGTGATACGCATAATAAATTATGAGATGCTCAACATTTTATTATAAAATAGACTCCATGTTAGATGATTTTGCCCAGCTGTAGGCTAATGTACTAAGTGTCCGAGCACATTTAAGGTAGTCTGGGTTAAGCTATGATGTTTAGTCGGTTAGGTGCATTAAATGTATTTTCAACTTAAGGTATTTTAACTTATGATGGGTTTATTGAGACCTAAACCCATCATAAGTGGAGGAGCATCTGTACTTTAATACCTTCAGGTATTTGCACTCATAGTATCCTTTTCCTAAAGTGTTTTCTTTGCTTCTGGACTCCATCAACTCCAACTCATCATTCATGATCTAACCCTCCCTGTCCTAGTAGCCTGCCCATTTTTACCCCAGAGCCAAATGAATTACTTGCCTTATTTCTGTTCCCAAAACATTTTACAATTTTTATAATACCTATTACATTGTATTACAATGTACTGGTATATCCTAATTTAATCATTGTGTATCTATTTCACAGATGAGGAAACTGAGTCTTAGAGAGGTGATGTAACTTGTTCAAGGTAATGGTTGAAATGTAACTGGTTAGAGGCAAAGCCAAACACTGAATCCAGTTATCCATGATTCCAGAGGCTATGCTCTTTCCATCCGATTGTGTTGCCTTTCCAATGCCACAAATTGGGGTCCTTTCCCAAAACATGCACTATTGGTTAAAGGAGTCTTTATCTTTTCTAGAACTTGTACTTTAGGGAAGGTTTTTGTGCTTAACCAGCCTTTTTTCCATTTTTAAAAATGTGACATAGTACGAAAGCACAGGGCCTGGAAAAGTGTTCTAAAGCTATAATCTTAGAGACACTGAGAATTTTCTATAATACTCTAGACTCAAAAATAATATAGTTTGGTATTTATAATATGGAACTGAGAGGATTTGGCAGGCTCAAAGTTCAACCTATTTTCTTTGAGGAGGTGATAGGAAAATATACTTTATAAGATACTTCACTGTTTGTTTTGGCACCTGAAAGTAACTGAATCACTCAGTGGGAATGAGGTTTATGAAAACACTAAGCAGTACAGGAACAGTTATACAATAAGACTCCCCTTCTCTGGCCTCAAAGGGTAGAAGTGACTCCATGAGCACCAAGGGCCCTGGGTAAGACCACCTCTTCCATGGCCTAAACAATAAAAAGGTGCCCAGAACTTGATGTACTCCTGGCAAAATTCTAGAGTATTCACAACCTCTGTCTTGAGACCATGAAGTCTAATTTTGTTTTTAATCCCTACTTACATCAGTTTCCACAAGAAGCCCCCTACTCTTAATTCTTCATCCTTCAGACTGTAATTTTAATTTCTCATGGACAACAAAGTACAAACTCCCTCCCCAAACACCCTAAACTGCCATCCATCTTCTTACCTTTTTCTATGCCACCTATCACCTTTTGACACACTTTACATTTTAATCATTTGTTTTTAAGTATCATGTAAGCTAGAACCTACGATCCATGAGGACAGGGATTTTTGTCTGTTTCAGTAACTGATATTTCCTTAGCACCTGGAACAATGCCCGGCACATAGTAGGTGTTCAAATATTTGATAAAGAAATAGAGGGCCGACTGAGTGGCTCAGTTGGTTAAGAGCTCGCTCAAGAGTGCGAGCTCTGAGCAACAGCGGTTCAAGTCCCGGCCCGAGCTGAGCTGCCAACAGGTAGCAGGGTGGCTCAGCTAAAAAAAAAAAAAAAAAAAAAAAGAACTAGGATAAATGGCAAATAAAGATGATAAAAGAGTCACCCAATAAAAAGGTAAGACCATCTTTTATAGACTGACAATGAGAAGTCATATTTGTGATGGTAAAGCACACAAAAGTTAGGGAAAACCCAAGTTAGAATACTGGTTCTATTACTTACTAATTAATAATGTAAGGTTGGTCACACTGAGCTTGTTTCCGTAAGTGAAAATGGTGAACTATCTCCACATAGAGCCATTATACAAATTACTAAGGAATATAGCTATAGAAATAGATATAGATATATATCTCATTTACCAATACACATAGGACATTATAAGCCCAAATATTTACAGGTTTTTCAAAAACTACATTCCAATATTAAAAGAATTAACAAGTACCAATTGATTTAGTAATTTGATTTAGGAAACACAATAGTAGGGCAAAAATATACAGCTTTCCTAATTCCACATTCTAATTTGTTTATAGCTAAATAAATGCAAAGGAATACTTTGAATAAAAATGTATCTTTGTATAATATTTTACAAATTACTACAACGTACCCATTCTTTATCTCATTTTTATCATCCTACAACTCTGTAACGTAGCAGAGTAAGGATTTTTATCCCATTTTAATTAAGATAATATACACATAAACACGCTGCTATTTGGAGGTACCTACGTTTGTTTCCTTCTTTTATACAAATGATGAACCTAGACCCTTATAACATGTCCAATCACCAGGTTGGCAAGTGCAAATTCAGGGATGTTTGCTTCTCTATACCTCCTTTAATAAGTCACTTTAAATGATAGTTAATTTTATTTAATTATGCAGCCTCCTGCATTAAACCCAAAGTTCAATGTTATATTTTTCACTACTTCTATCCTTTTGTTACTTTTATCCTTGTTGACACATAAAAGATCACTAAAAGGATTTTATGATTAAAAATTAGTCTCATGATATCAAAGCTCTTTATAAACTTTTGCCCTAATTTACTGCTCTGTGCCATAAGTGACAATTTTATGCTCAACTATGCACTTCTGCAACTATCTCAGCAAATAATGCACCTCAATCTTGCCAAATGAAGACTCATGTTCATTCTCAACTCCCCTAAAATATGACAGACCCAGATAATTGAGAGTGAAATGGAAAAGACCTATGATAAAGGCTCTTCTTACAGTCCTTTGAAAGCAGTTGACTCCTGGAGAACCAGTGTTTACTTTTTTAAAATTTGAACTATTTTTTTATGTACAGAGTACTATTGGATATTTGTATTGTTTCTAGTTACTAACATCATTCAGAGCAGTAACATAAACAGTGAAGTTTCAGTGGCATGATTTGCTAATGTGCAATTAGGAGAGGTAAAAATCACCTCCCAATAAGCGACCTACCTAACTTGATAAAAGAGGTGTGAATGATACTTGTAACTGAACTTGATGTGCTCGAGACAAACAAAATGTGCTACTCCAGCCTCTAGTCCAGGGTTCTGGTTCATCTCCGTTTCCTTGAAACTCTTACTTCCTGAAGGAGTATTAACTGCCTCCACCTCTACCACTTCGATGGGACTCCCCACTCTCACTAGTGTCCCTCCCAAAAATCTGGTTCCCCTGCTTCTCACCAACAATCACTGAACCCTTTCTTCTAAAAATCAGCAACACAATTTCAAAAC